GACAATGATATATACATGATATTTATATAAACTATATAAAATTATATAAATTTATATATTTTCTGTTCCCATATCTTGAATTTTGTGATCATTCGAAATGTATTTTAATAAACTGAATCATACAGTGAAAGAAAGCACTGTAAATGCGCACACGCACTAGTCTAACCTACTACACTTCATCACACACTGTTTCTCTGGCATTTTCAAAGGCACGTAACATAAAATACTGTGGCTTGGCATGATACACAGTCTAATGGTCTAACGAAATCCAGTTTTAAACATCTTTTACTGTACCCATTGTATGGCCCTTATATGACCTATTTGAGCCAATGCAGATGAATGAAGTTATCTCAGGACGAGACCGCCCTGATTGTAAAGCAAAACGTGATTGGCTATAGCGAGATCATGCTACGATTGGACAGCGAATGTGGCTTTTATCTGATTGGCTTGAGTAGACGGTGGGTGGAGTCCACGTATTTGTGGATTGTCAGCACGTCTTGACGCAAGAAATGTTTCACAATTCGCAAATGCACAGGACGCGATTCACAAATGTGTGCGCTATCTACAAATGCACAGGACGCGATTCACAAATGCGTGCGCTATCTACAAATGCACAGGACGCGATTCACAAATGCGTGCAGCTATCTACAAATGCACAGGACGCGATTCACAAATGCGTGCAGCTATCTACAAATGCGCAGGACGCGATTCACAAATGCGTGCAGCTATCTACAAATGCACAGGACGCGATTCACAAATAAATGCCAGGCAAAGTTGTGGTTGTGACATAAATATATATTTGTGAATATGTTTTTTATTTGCAAATCTCATTTTATTTATTTGTGAATTTAATTCATGTTTGTGAAACTTTAAGATTTATTTGTGGATCTCATTCTATTTATTTGTGGATCATAATCTATTTATTTGGAATTAAGCAACAATTCTATCTCCATAATCACATACTGTACAGTTATCCATTTATTTGCAGCCTTATAAACGTAATCAGTAGGTCTCATTCTCTAAGCAGCTGAATCACGCATTTGTTAAAAAAAACTGCGTATTTGTATGAAAATATGATGTTTTCAAGAACAAATCAAGAACAAATAAAAAATATCAATCTGGATGGCCATATAATCATGTTAAGATGAAATTGTCTAGATAATTTGTATACACAGATATTTCACTTAAAATACATTTCATCATATACAGTGAAAGAGTACGAAAAGAAGAGTTACAGCTTGTATAAAACCACAGATACGTGTTTGTGCAGCCGGCCGATCAGAGATCTGAACCCTGGGTCTGTGTTGAAGGTGTCTGAACTGGTTCTGAGGACGGCACACTTGGCATTATTTGAAGATCCTGCTGCAGGTCTCTCAGCGTCATATGTTCACTGAGAGTCACGAAAGGCCGTAAAGTAAAGGCTGTGTCGAAAGCCTTATATGGAGATGGTTTGGGCACACGGCCGCTCATTTCCAATCCTCGAAATTCATTAACATTAGAACGAGGTTAAAGGGGTCATATGATGCTGCTAAAAAGAACATTATTTGGTGTATTTGGTGTAATGAAATGTGTTTATGCGGATTATAATGACTTATACTGTCTTTTTACGCATTGCATCGCGCCGCGTAAACATAAAACATGTCTGCATTTGTGATCGGAGAAACGACAAACAAGTGCTACTCTACACTGCTCAAAACTCACGTTTGAATCATCAGAGGCAAATCCTTTAAATATAAAAAACGTACTTACAGTCTGTGAGTCAGAACAGCCGGCATTGTAGTCTACTCTCCCAGGATCAGGAGACAGTCCTACATAAAATGTGCTGCACACATCTGGATATTTGGGTTGAAGTGTTCTGGAACAGTGTTGTAAATACAACTTAACCACTGATTTCTAGTCGTGTCCTCTTTTGGAAGACCAAACAAAGTAGTTTTGCTTTCACAACGAAACACACAGCGTCTTCACGACATGACGGCGGCAACAACAATACTACAGCGAGAATAAAAGTTACGCCTTCTTTCTTTGCGTGAACATTTGGGCGGCGTTATGCAAATCTTCCCACATAGTGACGTAGATATGTGGAGGCGTGTTAGGTAGGCGTTTTACTTTTATAAAGAATATCTCTTTGGATTTGAGACTTTAGTCTTTGCAACTTTACAGATCTTCTTTATGCACCAAGAGCTTGTAACACTCCAAAGAGAAAGGAACAATTGAAATCGCATCATATGACCCCTTTAAGAGCAAATGCATGTGCGTACGCACGCGTTGTGAGCTACGGGGGAACATTTGCGTGTGTACAAAATGCAATCATTAGTGACTGAGACCCGTTGAGTTGTGTGTGAGGCACTGCACATTATTGTTACGAACTGTGCTGACTTTGAGACCTCTGAAAGTTACAAATCAGGAAATCAAATAGCTGTAATGAGACATCTATTTAGGTCCATGTCAAAATGCGACAGGGTGCCAACAGCAGAGTATCTGTGTAAATAAAGCGTATTGATCACCTCTGTTTGACTCCTGGTAAACAACAGACTTGCCCAGCTCAACTCCAAGACGCCTGTGCAAACACAAGCAGACAATCAACACAGAAGCATCACTGCACACTCACACAACACCACGAGCAAGGTCTCTGTGGAGGATTGGGCCGCTGGGCACTTACTCGGTAATCTTCTTGGAGAGTTCAGCGCACGCCGGCGTGGAGTTGGCAGAGAAAACGCGGTAACCACTTTTCGCCACGTTCATGATCAGCTAACGGTAAACCTGAGACGTTTACAGGTCTAGCGCTACAAAGCCGCTGTCGTATCTAGGAATGCGAGTGATATAATAGCTGCTGAAGAAGTACAACAGCTGCTCTGCAGGTTCACTGTGGTTTCCAAACAACCAGCCGATTTCTTCTGCGCGAGGTCCGCTGCTGACGGCTCACTACAGCCGCCTGCTGGCCGGAGGACAGCTGCATTCAACCACTGCTAATAATGTCTTCTTCTTCGGTTTTATGGCGGGTAGCACTAAAGTTAAGGTGCATTATCGCCACCTACTGTATTGGAGTGCGAACCAGAGTTTACCTTTCATAATAAGAGGACAAAAAAATACAAAATGTTCCCACTAAATTCTCTTAATCAGCTCTGTTCTCTTAAGATACAAAAATACACTTTCTAGTCCATAAGTAAATATATTTTTGAAGCTTTAGGTTATCCACTCCCATCTTTCTAAGTTCATTTCGTTCATTAGTATACTTTTGACAAACACAAATAACATGTTCTACTGATTCCTCCATTCCACCGTGCTCACGTAATCCTGTTGGATGTTTATTTATTATTTTTAAGGTTTTATTCAGCATAGTATGCCCAACCCTTAATCGTGGTTAAGGTGCATTATCGCCACCTACTGTATTGGAGTGCGAACCAGAGTTTACCTTTCATAATAAGAGGACAAAAAAATACAAAATGTTCCCACTAAATTCTCTTAATCAGCTCTGTTCTCTTAAGATACAAAAATACACTTTCTAGTCCATAAGTAAATATATTTTTGAAGCTTTAGGTTATCCACTCCCATCTTTCTAAGTTCATTTCGTTCATTAGTATACTTTTGACAAACACAAATAACATGTTCTACTGATTCCTCCATTCCACCGTGCTCACGTAATCCTGTTGGATGTTTATTTAATATTTTTAAGGTTTTATTCAGCATAGTATGCCCAACCCTTAATCGTGTTAGAATATTTTCCTCTTTGGTGCTTCTTTGAGTTATTCTCACGACTGCTACTTCTCTCTGTATTTCATAAAGTTGATCCCATCTTTCTAAGTTCATTTCGTTCATTAGTATACTTTTGACAAACACAAATAACATGTTCTACTGATTCCTCCATTCCACCGTGCTCACGTAATCCTGTTGGATGTTTATTTATTATTTTTAAGGTTTTATTCAGCATAGTATGCCCAACCCTTAATCGTGTTAGAATATTTTCCTCTTTGGTGCTTCTTTGAGTTATTCTCACGACTCCTACTTCTCTCTGTATTTCATAAAGTTGACGTCCTGTATTTCCTGTATCCCATTTATGTTGCCACTCCTTAGTGGTTTACGCTTTTGCTAATAATGTCGAATCTACAATCCGGATTTAGCTGTTGAATTGAATAATAAGAAGAGAAGAAATGTGTGTGATTTATATATTGCTGTCAAGCAAGCAAATACATAAATAAACTATAACTATAACTCAACCACTGTCCATGACTGAATCTATTTATTTATTTCTTTTGAGTGTAATTAAATGAAGACTGAGCATTAGTGATGAACAGCTGCTGTTAACAAGCAGAATCACTGAAGGAAAGAGAAACACAAGAACTACAACTGACTTCAGCCACAGCCTTACATTAAATCAACTCAAATAAGACATGAAATATCTCAAGATCTGATTAAAACAGCATTACCAGCTTCACTTATTACTAACTAGTTTGATTTGATTTCTGTCAGACGTCTACTGAAGTTCTTATTGAGAATGAACTGAGGTTTAGATGTTGAGGTTTTATTAAAAGTAACGTTTCGTTTAATGCCAGTGTTTGATTTAGTCGGGCTCTTGTCTTGTGGGCATCTGTGTGTTTATGAAGCACATTTGTTGTGGGAAAAAATATGAATATATATTAATAGCAAAAACATCTGCACCCGCATTTTGATGCTGTTTATGGAAGCGAGAGAAGAAAAAATATAGCTTTTTCTTTACTCTGTAATATTCATGCAACTGCATTCTAACATATTGTATGAAATTAATTGAAGTCTGCCGGAAAAAAAAAAAATCCCTCTAACATTTGATCTGTTTTGGAGCTGATACTTGAGAAGGTTTCTATTTTGTTCATTTATTAATAAGCACTATAAGAGCACACCTTCCCAGAGATTGTGAAAGTAAACATTTGACATTTTGTTTTGCATAATTTTAATTTTAATGAAGTGATAAAGACCTGGGGAACTATTTATTTATAAAAAAAATACGTTTAACATTGGCAATATGTAACATTAAATATGCATAAGTAATTTTCACAAATGCATGCGGTAAATATATATATATATATATATATAGCCTACGAACATTTTGGACTATGGAATATTTTCATATGGAAATATATGAAAAATTATACATATTGTCCATATGCTATGGCATCTGTTTGTGATGTTATGTGTTATTTTTTGAGCATTATGTGCTGCTGTCTCGCTATAATGTGCTGGGACTGGTAGTTGATCTCAGCGTTTAATAAACGTTTATTTCTGTTGACTATGATGTATTGCTTCTTGTGATCTCCAAACTGAGCATTGTTTTGTTTTTGATGGGGGATTTTTTTTTGTTGCTTTGGTACTGTGGTTATACAGTAGCCTACTAAGTGTCTTTTGATTAAACAAAAAAAATTACATCCATGTGATGTCTGGCCTTTAAACACTTTTATATATTTTTTATATACTATGCATTCAAGCACATGTACAAAAGGACATTATTTAACTGATTATGTGTGTCACTGAAAGAAAAAAATAAACAAGCACAGACATTTTTTCCCTTAAAATAAAGGAATTGTTATGATTTTCATGTGCAAAAATGTTAACGAATTCTTTTTTTATTTCTTAAAGGGGTCATATGATGCGATTTCAATTTTTCCTTTCTCTTTGGAGTGTTACAAGCTCTTGGTGCATAAAGAAGATCTGTAAAATTTCAAAGACTAAAGATATTCTTTATAAAAGTTAAGAGTCAACCACGCCTACCTAAAACGGCTCGTGTTAGTCCCCACATGTCTACGTCCCGATTTGGGAAGATTTGCATAACACCGCCCAAATGTTCACGCAAAGAAAGAAGGCGTATGTGGCGAGGGGGGCGTGGTTTAGCTGAGTCTGCAGCGGGAGAGAGCGGTTGGAGAGAGCGGTGAGTAAATAGGTCAAGTGCAAAATTACATTCACCTGCTTCTCATTTCAGTGATTGGCCTGGAGAGACCGTAAAAGGCCACGGAGAAACCCAGAGTGGGAGAAAAAGAGACAGACTGAGGACTCGTGGGGAAAAGACTGTTGCCTGTGAGGTAGAGAATCAATTAAGTGTTGTGTAGTTCTGTTTATTTGAAGCGCATGTTTGTTTGGAATTGTGAACCAGTTATATAAATTACAACTTCTTCCTTCCTTTCCTCGAACTTTGTTACACTGGTGCCGAAACCCGGGAAGGGAGATGCAGGCCGCCGCTGTCATGCAGTCACCGCCAAGTTCGCCGTTTGCGGAAGTGATCCAATCGCTCGTGGGACACCACCAAGAGCAACATCAGGCGTTGCTGGAGATGTGAGATGACCAGGAACTTCGTTTCCGCGCTCTGGTACAGGCGCAACAGGAGGACTGTGAGCTGTTCCGGAGCTGGATGGACCAGGAGGGCCATCATCGAGAACCGCCGTCTGAATAAGTCCGCTGCTCCTGAATAAAATGGGGCCAATGTTGCTAGACCTGGCTATCTAGTTGGCGGAAGACCAGATGGTGGCGTGCCTTGGCTTCACCAAGATCGAGTTAGCGAATCCCTGCCAGCTGTTTCTTTCTCTCTTCCCCTAATATTCCCGCACTGACTAGCCCCCCCCCGTCCTGTTCCCTTTCCTAGGTCCTGTCCGGGAATCCCTCCTCGAGTCCCACCCTGGGGGAGGGCTGGGCTGCCTCCGGAGTCTGCCGCTGGCCCGAGAGCACCACCCAGGGGGGCGGTGCTGATTATGTGTGTCACTGAAAGAAAAAAATAAACAAGCACAGACATTTTTTCCCTTAAAATAAAGGAATTGTTATGATTTTCATGTGCAAAAATGTTAACGAATTCTTTTTTTATTTCTTAAAGGGGTCATATGATGCGATTTCAATTTTTCCTTTCTCTTTGGAGTGTTACAAGCTCTTGGTGCATAAAGAAGATCTGTAAAATTTCAAAGACTAAAGATATTCTTTATAAAAGTTAAGAGTCAACCACGCCTACCTAAAACGGCTCGTGTTAGTCCCCACATGTCTACGTCCCGATTTGGGAAGATTTGCATAACACCGCCCAAATGTTCACGCAAAGAAAGAAGGCGTATGTGGCGAGGGGGGCGTGGTTTAGCTGAGTCTGCAGCGGGAGAGAGCGGTCGGAGAGAGCGGTGAGTAAATAGGTCAAGTGCAAAATTACATTCACCTGCTTCTCATTTCAGTGATTGGCCTGGAGAGACCGTAAAAGGCCACGGAGAAACCCAGAGTGGGAGAAAAAGAGACAGACTGAGGACTCGTGGGGAAAAGACTGTTGCCTGTGAGGTAGAGAATCAATTAAGTGTTGTGTAGTTCTGTTTATTTGAAGCGCATGTTTGTTTGGAATTGTGAACCAGTTATATAAATTACAACTTCTTCCTTCCTTTCCTCGAACTTTGTTACACTGGTGCCGAAACCCGGGAAGGGAGATGCAGGCCGCCGCTGTCATGCAGTCACCGCCAAGTTCGCCGTTTGCGGAAGTGATCCAATCGCTCGTGGGACACCACCAAGAGCAACATCAGGCGTTGCTGGAGATGTGAGATGACCAGGAACTTCGTTTCCGCGCTCTGGTACAGGCGCAACAGGAGGACTGTGAGCTGTTCCGGAGCTGGATGGACCAGGAGGGCCATCATCGAGAACCGCCGTCTGAATAAGTCCGCTGCTCCTGAATAAAATGGGGCCAATGTTGCTAGACCTGGCTATCTAGTTGGCGGAAGACCAGATGGTGGCGTGCCTTGGCTTCACCAAGATCGAGTTAGCGAATCCCTGCCAGCTGTTTCTTTCTCTCTTCCCCTAATATTCCCGCACTGACTAGCCCCCCCCCGTCCTGTTCCCTTTCCTAGGTCCTGTCCGGGAATCCCTCCTCGAGTCCCACCCTGGGGGAGGGCTGGGCTGCCTCCGGAGTCTGCCGCTGGCCCGAGAGCACCACCCAGGGGGGCGGTGGCTAGTCAGTGCGGGATCCGCAGCGCTTCCTTTTTCTGCTCTCACCACGTCAGTCCCTTGATCCACTTCCTGCCAACAGAGCAGCGGGAAGGTCTGGACTGGCCTGTTGGCATTGCGGGGACCCAGGGCATTTAATTGACCGGTGCCCAGTGGTGGAGTTGGGGGCACTGATCTGGGTCCCGGATGACCCACAGGCTGCCCCCGGTCAGGCTGGCCTGTACCAAATACCTGTGAGTATTAAGGGAGGTACCTATCTCGCTTTGGAGGATTCAGGTTGTAACCAAACCTCGATCCATCAAAGCCTGATTCAGCTCGAGGCATTGGATAGAAGCCACACGGTTCCGGTCCGGTGTGTGCATGGTGATGTGGTGAAGTATCCTCTAATGTCCACACTGATTCAATTTCGGGGGCAAAAGCATAGTGTGGAGGTCGCAATTAATCCACACCTCCGGCATCCACTAATTTTGGGGACAAATTGGCCAGCATTTAATCAATTACTGGGATGTTTGTGTGTGGCTGTATCTTGTGGAGAGAAGGCTGGAGAGCGGAGCAAATGCGCAGGTGGGAGTGGCTGAACCGGGACCGCGGGATACTGAACCAGGGGAACAGAGTGCGAATGAGAGGCTAATCCTCTCTGAGCGTGATGATTTTCCCCTGGAACAATCCCAGGATGAGTCCCTAAAGCGGGCATTTGAACCGGTCCAATCTGTTCTCCTATCCCTATTTTGCCATTTTAAAGGATCGGTTATACCGAGTGACAAGACACTCAAAGCAGGATACAACCCAATTGTTAGTACCTAAAAGCCGTCGGGAAATGCTTTTCCAGGCAGCTCATTGTAATCCGATGGCAGGGCATTTAGGACGGGCAGCAACACTAAATCGTCTCATGACTCGATTCTTTTGGCCGGGCATTCACGAGAATGTGCACGGCTCGTTGTGAATGTCAGCTGGTAAATCCACCGGGCTCCCCAAAAGCGCCTTTGCGCCCTCTTCCTCTAATGCAGGCCCCCTTCGAAAGATTTGTTACGGACCTCATCGGGCCATTAGAATGACCGGCAAGCGGGCATCGCTTTGCATTAGTCCTAGTGGACCATGCAACACGATACCCTGAAGCAGTAGCGCTTCGCAACATTTCAGCGAAAAGTGTAGCGGATGCACGGTTTCGGTTGATCTCCCAAGTGGGAATCCCGAAAGAGATTCTCACTGATCAAGGCACGGCGTTCATGTCACGTACGTTACGCAAACTGTATGAATTGTTGGGCATTAAGTCACTTTGCTCCAGTGTCTACCACCCACAAACAGACGGTCTGGTGGAACGACTTAATCGCACGTTAAAAACCATGATTCGGAAGTTCGTTCATGAAGATGCCAAAAATTGGGACAGGTGGCTGGAACCCCTCTTGTTCGCTGTATGGGAGGTCCAGCAAGCCTCCATGGGGTTTTCCCCCTTTGAGCTTCTCTATCAGCTGGACGTCCTGAGAAAAACTTGGGAGGAGGGACCTTCAGAAAGCCGAAATGAAATTCAGCTTGTGCTGGACCTGAGAACTAAACTCCACACCTTGGGGCGGCTGTCAATGGAGAATTTGTTTCAGGCCCAGGACAGGCAGGGTCGGCTGTACAACAGGGGAACCAGGCTATGTAAATTTGCACCGGGAGAAAAAGTGCTTGTATTGCTTCCTCCCGGCAGCTCATATAAATAATCTTAATTATTTATATACATTTCCCTTTTGAGCTAATTTGCTACACCCCCTAGTGTTCCTACATCCATGTACAGTGTTGATCTGCCCACAGAAGAAGGTCTTACGCTAGCCGCAGCAGAGGCCGCAAGCTCACATCCCCTTGTTGATTTATGAACGCTACCACTGAAATACAGCTGTTGAGATTCATGTTGATCATTTACGTATATCTGTGTGCCCAAAAAAAACAACACCGCTCAAATGTTTCTGTATCACTTTTAAAAACCGGAAAGCAAAAATCTAAAATACCAGATTGTCAAAGTACAGCTGCTACAATATCACAAGGCTACTGTAAATCATGTTTTACATGAAATTTAACAGCTAATAAGATTTGACTATGTGAGTGTCAGTGAATCAGGCCACTACATGACTACATTGCCAATAAGTGACCATCTGTTTTTTATTTTTTCCTGCATTTTGTGCCATAAAAACATGCATCAGAAACGGCTAAATAAAAAATTGTCAAGGGTCAAAAGCCTAACTAAAGCAATCACTGATCATCACCATGTCTCTTAGCTTTACGGCCTAAATGTTGGCCAACACTTTGAGCTGCTAAATGTATGGATGGATATTGTAAATGTGACTGCTCCTTTGAAAGTTTTAAAACCGAAACCTAGAACAGATCAATGGCTTACCTCTGATATTCACTCACTAAGACACGCTTGCAGAAAAGCAGAGTGACAATGGAAAAGGGACAGACTTCATATGAGCTGTGTAAGACCTGTCTTCTGGCTTACCAGGCTTCTGCAAAGGCTGCCTATTTTCCCAGTTTAATTTTAAACAACCAACATAAGCCCAAGGTTCTGTTCTTATGACTTTGGTCTGAGCGGAAGGTTATTTGTCCTTGTCTTGTCTGTGTAAATTGTTCTTTGTTCGATACACATGGGTTTTGTTTTGACCGTTCGCCATTTGCTTGTTGTCTTTGTGATTCCCCTCGCTATTGCGATCCAATTATCTATATTGGCTACCATCACACCTGTGGCTAGTTAGTCTAATTTCCCCCTCTCTTTTAGTTCCTTGTGTGTGTGTGTATAGTCTTGTTAGACTGTTGCTGTATGTACTCGCTATGCTCCGCTCATGATCTACTTTTGGTTATGCCATGTTATGAATTGTGTTTTCCGAGGCTCCAACTGCACATTCGTTTCTGTTTGATTTCTTTTCAGCACTGATGCTGGGTCTCTGTGCGCGGTTTTCTCCATGGTTCTCCCTCTCTGCCTCGTCGAGTGTCTGGTTGCTCGTTTGGACTGTCCACCTCTTACTGTCTGCATCCTCTGCCCTGGATTATGGCTTACAGCCTTCTGCTCCTGCCCTGTTTTTGGGTTGTTGTTTTCTTGAGACCATAATGAACATTTGAGTTGAACCTGCAATTGAATTTGAGTTTTTCCCAGTCATTAATGCTTTCTCAAATCCATCTGTCAAAATACCAAATACTTCTACTGTATTGTGTGATAGCTTCTTGAGCTTTTTCCACTGATATAATCTCAAATTTAAGGCCCCAGGCAATAACCACTTGTAATGACCCTCTTCTTGTTACTCAGCCATTAGCCTCATGGGAGGCTTTCGATCCCATTTATCTACAATCTCTGACTGAAATTGCCACCCTCAAACCTTCTTTCAGTTCTTGTGATGTAATATAACCTCGGTATTTCAAATTGTTAATTGAGTCTGTTGGCCCTGCTCTACTATCTTTACTGAAATGTTTATTAACTGACTCTGGTCCTGCATGCCTGAAATTGGCCTCCGTTACTCTTTATTTGCTCAAAAAGCCTTCCTTAGACATGTTTTAAATAACTACCGACCTGTTTCTGTGCTTCCTTTTATGTCTAAGGTGCGTTGTGTTGTGCCAACTGCAGTCTTTTCTAAATCTGAACCATATTTCTGAGTTTTCAGTCAGGTTTTAAGTCTTTTCATAGCACTGAGCAAGGGTGTACATTTGCTTTTGACATTAGTGGGGACATGACAGCAGAACCCAACCTACTGCTCCAAATCACTCATAGTTTTGCATAAAATCACATTTGTCCCAAATTATTGAAGCATCTGGACCAATCAGACTGTCACGAATCCTGTCCATGGACTTCCGTTCAATCACCACCAGAGGTCACCCTTTCATTACATTGACTCTCGCACAACACAAACTGTTGCATATCACCCCTGACTGCATACCCCATCATTCATTGCACTGATTGCACAGCTGTTTCATATCACTCACTCACTATATAACACTCACTCAAACTACCATTCTCTGCTGAGTATTGTTTATCCTGTTCCCTGTTCCGAGTCTGTGTTTCCTTGTTTTGCCTTTGCCTCGCCTTGCCTGTTTTCTCGGTTTCTGATCCTTGCCTGTTTCCCTGGATTTATCCCTCTCGTCTCGCCCCTGTGATTCTGTCTGCCGATCATTGACCTACGCTAGGACTATTCTTGTTTTGCCCGCCTCATACCTGTTTGCCATTGTTCGACCCTGCCTGTTATGACCACGTCTCTGAAATAAAAGCTTGCAGATGGATCCTCACGTCTCGTCAGCCCCGTTACAGAGTACTCAGCCCAACAAGGATCCAGCGGCTTTTCCAAAGGACATTGGCCAAGTATGGACACGGCAAGAATTTTGTTAGCCCTTAAACAGTGCCCCCGATCTTTGGAGAACCATATTCGAGAGTTTTTAGCCATCGCTCACTATTCTCATTTACCAGACTGTTTATTGATAGTTTTTCTGCGATGGCATAAATCAACCTCTTAAGTCTAAACTTAGACGCGATGGTCCACGTTCGTCACTCGCTCCGTTAATGGATTATGCCTTGTTGACGGTTGGATCTTTGTTTACTGTGGGTGTCGTGGAGAAAGACCGCGACACAGTGTCTGTGACTGAAGTGGCGGCTGTACCAGAGCACGCTCACAAAATGGCGGCGACAGCGGAGCCTGATCGCAAAATGGCGGACACAACAGCACTCCGTCATGTCACAGCTGCCCATCTTGAGTCCAGTCAAGTCACAGTTGATCACCATGAGTCAGGTCAAAACTGATCTTCCTGAGTCTAGTCCCAGTTGATCAGCATGAGTCAGGTCTAGTCACAGTTGATTGTCCGGAGTCAACTCAAGTCACAGCTTCCATTGCGGAGTCAAGTCTCAGCTGATTCTGCCAGAGCCTCGTCACGTCTCCGCTGATCTCCCAGAGTCTTGTAACGTCTCAGCTGTTTGTCTCGAGTCACGTCACATCACAGTTGATCACCCAGAGTCACGTCACATCACATCTGTTCGCTCTGAATCCTGTCACTTCCTGTCTGTTGCACCCAGATCCTATGGGACTGTTCTTCAGTATCTCAGACTGACTTCCAGTGTGGAGGACCCACCGCTGGTGTCGGCATGTGCAGCTGGCATCCCTAAACCAGCGCTCCCAAACCCTTCTGTTCATGAACTCATTCCCCTGTCTGCAGCACTTCCCATATGGGGGGTTGCTGTATGGTGTATCTGGGCCGCGTACTCCACCGCCGTTTTGCTAGAGGCAGCGGCACTGGCTACAAAATCTCCAGAGGTGACTGCTTACGCTGCAGAACCTCCCGAGGTAGCGGTGTCCGCTGCTGTGATCCCAGAGGCCATGGTATCCGCTGCAGTCTCTTCAGAGGTGGCGGCACATGCTGCAGAACCTCCCGAAACGGTGGTGCTCGCTTCAGCTCCTTGCGTGGTGGTGGCGCCCAGCAACGCACATTCAGCCTGTCCTGTTCCGGCTAAGGAGGTCGTCTGGGAACTCTCATCCCATCCTGTCACGGCTATGGAGGCCGTCGGTGAACTCTCTGCTCATTCTGTCACGGCTATGGAGGCCGTTGGGGAATCCTCATCCTGTCCTGTCACGGTTATGGAGGCCGTTTGTGAACTTTTGTCTTGTCCCGACCCAGCCAGGGAGTCTGCCTCTGCACGCTCAGTCTTGTCTATCAACCCCAATATTCTGTCTGTGTTGTCTGACTCCGCTTTCTCGTTGCTACAGTCTCCGCCATGGTCTCCTGGTCGGAGTGGTTCACCAGGGGGGTTTCCTGTTTCCTCTGCTCCGCCGTGGTGGTTCTCTGCCCCACCGTGGTGGTCTACTGTCAGGCTCTGGTGGTTCTCTGCTCCGCCGTGGTGGTTCTCTGCCCCACCGTGGTGGTCTACTGTCAGGCTCTGGTGGTTCTCTGCTCCGCCGTGGTGGTTCTCTGCCCCACCGTGGTGGTCTACTGTCAGGCTCTGGTGGTTCTCTGCTCCGCCGTGGTGGTTCTCTGCCCCACCGTGGTGGTCTACTGTCAGGCTCTGGTGGTTCTCTGCTCCGCCGTGGTGGTTCTCTGCCCCACCGTGGTGGTCTACTGTCAGGCTCTGGTGGTTCTCTGCTCTACCGTGGTGGTTCTCTGCTCTACCGTGGTGGTCTTCTGCTCCGCCGTGGTGGTCTACTGTCTGGCTCTGGTGGTCTTCTGCTCCAC